ATGGGTTACTGAAGTAAATTTTGAAGTTTTACCTCTTCATTAAATGGAATGACAAGTTTCATACTGTTGGTATGGATGAATGAAATCACCTCCACTTTGTCTAGCTTGCTTTCCTCAGTGAGTGGCATGTCTGCCCGCTTTTCATCAAACTGGAATATACACAAAGAGAAGGACATGTGGGATTATGATGGAAACATAGTTGAGCAAACTACATATTATTTTAAAAATTTCATCCTGTTTTCTTAAACAAGAAAACAGTATTTCAAAGTGAACGAATCTTCCATTTGAGGCACACACTGGATATTTTGTTTACTTAAGTCTCAAGCGTGTGGCTTTCACTGTCCCTAAAGACTCATTCCATTGGTTGCACCAACTGACTGAACACGCCCCCTTTGCTGAACGAGTCCGTGTTTTATTGTAGAGCGAGACTCGGCGGCACTGAATGTAGGCCTTGTCATCGGTCTAACTTATTTACATAAAAAATTAATGATCAAACAATGATCACTTCCATCAACACATCCAAATTTTGCATGGTCCTATCCACCCATGAATTATGGGTGTAACTTCCGTCAAGCTGTAAACAGTCAGTGAAAGGCTCGCTCTATGAACGCAATAATATGTTTTTTTTTAAACTGTGTAGAATGAGATTGCATTATTCTCAGGGGCATCGCTATGGTTTCTAGGCCCCTTGAACAGCATATTGACTCGGGCCCCCTCCGTGATCGCGTTCCGGGCCCCTTCTCCCTCGTCGGGCCCTTGGAATCATCCTAACCTCCCCCCTCGTTACGGCGCCCCTGATTATTCTACTCACCCTTCAACCATCGAACATTAAAATGACATACAGTACGTTGCCTTAATCAAAAATGTTCATTAACTTCAGCATTGCTTGGTACTATTTCAAAGTGATTTCCATCATTTTGACAGACAATAAATTGTATTTACCTGTGAAAACAAACAAACCTGGAAATAGAAGTGAGGATTTGAGGAGAAAAACAAGAGATTCTTCGTTCTTTCCAGGGAATTATAAATGGGATATATCGTAAATTAAATCGGGAGAACAAACAACAAATGTGCAGTATATGTTGTCTTTTTTCCAAACTATTACAGCGGAGGGAAAAAATAAAATAATCATGAGGAAAAGAATGCAGCGACTGACAAGAGCTCTTGCCATAGATGTTCTTGTTATAACATGTCACGTTAAAATACCAAGCGTTACGTTATTCTCATGATGTCTGAAAATAAAACATGAAGGAAAATCCACAGCTCATTCAGTCAAACAGACGGATAAGCTTTATATGTAGGGCAACCTTATGATTTGAAATGATTAGTTTCAGTCTGTTTGAATGGAAGTTCCCCAAGCCGGAAGTTCCACCCATAGTTCAAAACGCAGTAGGCTCGTCAGGAATAAGGTGGCTATCACCTCCTGGATCGTCATTTCATTATGCAGCTTTGATTTATATAATGATTAATATTTGATGATCGCGTTATTTTACATGCGTATTTGCTTACATACGCGATCGCTTGTTTCTGCTTCTTCACCATGTTTTGATCCAGACATTCAATACTCTTTCAGAAGATGTGTAATAGCGCCTCCTATACCGTACACCAGTGAAAACACGGAAAACCCGGAAAATTCCATCAATGACAAAGAAAGAGTTAAAATTAAGTAAGGACATTATTGATTTAAAAATTCTTCCGGAGTCTCTTTCTGGACGTAGTTTTATAATCATGCAAATTTTCTTATTTCAGTCAAATTGTGCTTTTAGTGACTCGGTTGATTGAATGATTCAATGACTCACTCATTTCACACAAAAAGATTCACTTGTTGCGATGTAACCTGTAGAATGAATAAATGAATGAAGAATCTCCTCAGACAATGAATTTGAATCAGTGGGATGAATCAGAATACCCACCAATAGCAGTAACAAACTGTAGTGCTAGGAGTATTGGGCGTTAAAATTAAGTAAGGACATTATTGATTTAAAAATTCTTCCGGAGTCTCTTTCTGGACGTAGTTTTATAATCATGCAAATTTTCTTATTTCAGTCAAATTGTGCTTTTAGTGACTCGGTTGATTGAATGATTCAATGACTCACTCATTTCACACAAAAAGATTCACTTGTTGCGATGTAACCTGTAGAATGAATAAATGAATGAAGAATCTCCTCAGACAATGAATTTGAATCAGTGGGATGAATCAGAATACCCACCAATAGCAGTAACAAACTGTAGTGCTAGGAGTATTGGGCGTTAAAATTAAGTAAGGACATTATTGATTTAAAAATTCTTCCGGAGTCTCTTTCTGGACGTAGTTTTATAATCATGCAAATTTTCTTATTTCAGTCAAATTGTGCTTTTAGTGACTCGGTTGATTGAATGATTCAATGACTCACTCATTTCACACAAAAAGATTCACTTGTTGCGATGTAACCTGTAGAATGAATAAATGAATGAAGAATCTCCTCAGACAATGAATTTGAATCAGTGGGATGAATCAGAATACCCACCAATAGCAGTAACAAACTGTAGTGCTAGGAGTATTGGGCGTTAAAATTAAGTAAGGACATTATTGATTTAAAAATTCTTCCGGAGTCTCTTTCTGGACGTAGTTTTATAATCATGCAAATTTTCTTATTTCAGTCAAATTGTGCTTTTAGTGACTCGGTTGATTGAATGATTCAATGACTATGAGTAACAAACTGTAGTGCTAAGAGTATTGGGATTACCTTCTTGAAGAGCACCAATGAGTCACTTTTTACATCATACTTCTTGAAGAGCTCTGGGTTGCTTGTGATGCCGAAGTTAACATCCACTGCTATTAATGTTACATCATAGAATGTCTTTGCCTTATCGCCTTCCAAATCCTGGGATGGAGAGAGCAAATGAATAATAACTTTTTCAATGATAAATCTTTTGTTGTGAATGGGGAGTGTAATGTATGTTTTACTAGAGCACTCTGGTTATAAGGCAACGTTAGATCTTAAAAGTCAGTGACTTTATGCAAACAATAGGTAATTTACCTGGAAGAATCCAACCACAACCACATCATTTGCATCCAGTAGAGCCTCTGCACTCTTCACATCATTGAGAACCGTAGCGCTGGGCCCCGTGTGCCTCTCCAGCCATCTTGTGATTCCTTTTACCGTTCGCTTTCCTGTTCAAATCAAAGAATAATCCTATAAGAAATATGCCTATGTATGAAAATAACATCACATATTCAAACACACCAAACAAATAAATGTATTACCAGAAAAATCAGTGACATTTTGCCTGTTGCCATCTTTGAAGAATTTAAGTGTGGGAAAGCTGTCCACATTGAACTCTGCTGCAAGGTCTCTCTCTTCTGTCGCCTCCACTTTGGCCAGTCGTACTTCAGATGACCCATTTTTCAGTAATCCAGCCACTTCTGCATAAATGGGTTCCAGACTGCGACAGTGACCACACCATGGAGTGTCTTTTTATGTTTTGAAAGACAAAAGCAAGTTTTATACCAGCATCTCGTTCATATATAAGACACATTGGGGCTAGTTGTCACACTAGAACGTCACAAAGGCTATATTTCAGTAACTAAAAGGTTTTGAGTCAAATTTCAGACATAGAGAGTATCCTGAAGAATATATATAGCTTTCTTTCCTGCATGTTTCTTGTTTTGTTATTTAACAGAAGAGCTAGTAGATGAAACCTGTTCTTTGTTTACATTCATTTTAATCAACTTTCTATACTCTGTATATAATAGATTCAGATGTTATTACAAAATGACCAAACCACGTGTCCATATCTGGCTTTTCTGCCCATGTGCCACGTTCACTGAGTTCCTCCTGCTCAGACACGTAAGCACTCAGAGCACAGAGATGAAGAAATAACCACATGCACACATGTAATATTTAAACAAATTACGAAATTATAGTGAGGGACATACACTGATGTTCACTCTAGCAATGCACACACACACACAGATTGTTATTACCAGGAAATGTGTTGAAACCAGCTTACCATGTGCCTCTTACTGTCATTCTTCTATTGTTTCAAAGCCTAATGAACATGAATGTGAGTGTTATTACATGACTGTCTGGAATACTTGATTCTGATTAGTTAATCTAACACTAACTGTATAGCTGTCTGCAGACAACGGTATTTTAGTATTATTGATACACAAAGACATATTTTGAATTATTTTATTTTTATATTTTCTCTTTTCATTTTAGTTTTAGTTAAAGTTTTAGAATTTTTTGTTGTGTGTTTGTGTCATGTTTATTCTTTTTTATCTAAATATGTCTGTCTATGTCTATATAGTTTTTATTACTTTTTATTTATCCGTTTTAGTTTATTATTGTAGTATTATTGTAAAGTTTTTTATATCATTTTTTTTCAGTTAGCCTTTTGTTTGTTTGTTTCAAAAAATGCTTTTTTATGATTTTAGTTTTAGTTGATGAAAACAACCCTAACTGCAGGTAAGCAATTTCTTTCATTCATTCAGGTTATATTGGGGTCACATTTGGTCATGTTGTGTCCAGTTGTCGCAGTTTATTTTGTGATTGTGACCTGACTATACATAATTCCTTACTTATTTATGCCTTGTAAATGTGTGAGGAGTTAGAAGCATTATTGATCACAAACAGGGTATTTTAATAGCAAATTGTTGCATAAATTTTTTTGCAAAATAATTCTTTTTATACATGAAAACATACTTAAGCATAAGAATGATCAATTAAACTTAAGTAGTATTTTAAATTGAAAAAAACACACCATTTTTAAAGCAATACTGAATACACTGCCAAAAATAGCAGTAATATAATAAAATAAAATAAAATAAAATAATAAGGTTACAACAAATGAAAACTACTGAAAATGGAACATGGTAAAATGCACTTTTTAAAAAAATGTCACAATATCTTGTGCACATATTTTTCCAGAAAACAATACCAACATTAAGAACAAGAAGAAATGTATCAAGAACAAATTGACAACATGACATTTTGTGTAGAAGACGGGCTGATTGATTATGATAGTGGATAGTCACAGTTAAATTCATTGGGATTCTCTCTGTCCATGGCCCAGTGAGCAAGTAAATCACTGAAGTCTGGGGTGCTTGAGCTACTGAGAGTCCCTGAGATACTGGAGCTGGTCATGGTGCAAACGCTCGAGTTACTGAACATGCTCAATGACGTGTTGATGTTAATGGAGCTCTCTGATGTGTTGCTCATACTGAGCGAGTTATCTTGCATGCTTGTATCACCTAACATGTCAAGTTGTTGTGCGAAAGGCTCTGTCCAGAAGCTGACTGGCAGGCGACGTTGGCTCATGGGTAAACCCCGCCCTTTCCTTTGAGCGTCTTGAAAGAGCTCTGCAAGGGGCCCGAGCGACTCAGGCTCCTCCCCCTGCCCTGATGATGCTACTTTGATGAAGTCGGCATAGTATCGCTGGCGGCCCCCGACTTTCGGACATGGTTTCTCTGCATAAATGTCACAGGCATCAGGGTCTTGGCTTCGCCCGAAGTAGCGCTGGACATCGCTGCTGATGAGTTCAGCAAACCGCAGGAGCTGATTGGTCATCTCAGCGTTATTGGGGGATGAATCAAAACTCCATGGCTCTTCCTCTTGAGACTCACTGGCTACTGCATCCTCTTCCTCCTCCAAACTGTCCTCTCTCAGCTCCTCTTCATATTCTTCTTCAGTCTCCTCCTCATCCTCAACCGGAAAGAAGCAAGGAGGAAAGGGTTTCGCCAAACCCAGATTACTCAGTGTCCTGATTACACTTGCTGCCATCCTACGAAGGAAATTATAGGTATATATAAATATACACCAGGTGGGGCAAGATGTCACAAGTAAAGGGCTATATCTCAGTACTGTATATCTCAGTAACAGTAAAAAAAAATTTCTCAGAATAAGAGTATTTTTTTATAAACGCCAGATTGGGGGAAAGTAGTAGCCTAACATTTAGATTGGTAATCTTACACAATTTATTACCTGATTTATTTATTTATAACAACAACAACAATAATAATACGAATTATTATTATTAAAAATGGTTGCCCAACAACTTTACAATAAATTGCATAAGATCACTGATACAAATTATTTCACAGGTTTTTATTACAGAAAAATTATAAGAAAGAAAGGAAGAAAGAAATGTGTTCTTTAAAAACTCACATAATATAGGCTATATCTGTGTCTGTCTGTGTGTGTGTGTGTGTGTGTGTGTGTGTGGGCATCAGGGTCTTGGCTTCGGCCGAAGTAGCGCTGGACATCGTTGCTGATGAGTTCAGCAAACCGCAGGAGCTGATTGGTCATCTCAGCGTTATTGGGGGATGAATCAAAACTCCATGGCTCTTCCTCTTGAGACTCACTGGCTACTGCATCCTCTTCCTCCTCCAAACTGTCCTCTCTCAGCTCCTCTTCATATTCTTCTTCAGTCTCCTCCTCATCCTCAACCGGAAAGAAGCAAGGAGGAAAGGGTTTCGCCAAACCCAGATTACTCAGTGTCCTGATTACACTTGCTGCCATCCTACGAAGGAAATTATAGGTATATATAAATATACACCAGGTGGGGCAAGATGTCACAAGTAAAGGGCTATATCTCAGTACTGTATATCTCAGTAACAGTAAATTTTTTTTTTTTACTGTTTTCTCAGAATAAGAGTATTTTTTTATAAACGCCAGATTGGGGGAAAGTAGTAGCCTAACATTTAGATTGGTAATCTTACACAATTTATTACCTGATTTATTTATTTATAACAACAACAACAATAATAATACGAATTATTATTATTAAAAATGGTTGCCCAACAACTTTACAATAAATTGCATAAGATCACTGATACAAATTATTTCACAGGTTTTTATTACAGAAAAATTATAAGAAAGAAAGGAAGAAAGAAATGTGTTCTTTAAAAACTCACATAATATAGGCTATATCTGTGTCTGTCTGTGTGTGTGTGTGTGTGTGTGTGTGTGTGCATGTTTATGTGGTTTATTAAATTTGTATAATAACATGGGTATGACATAGGTATTACAACGAGAAGGTGATTTATGAGGACATTTTCAGTGTCCCCGTAATTCAAAAGGCTTATGAATAATTCTGAATGAGTTTTTTTGAAAATCTAAAAATGCAGAAAGTTTCCTGTGAGGGGTAGGTTTAGGGGTAGGGTTGGTGTAGGGCAATAGAATATACGGTTTGTACAGTAGACAAACCATTACACCTATGGAGAGTCCCCATAAACCCTGTGTGTGTGTGCGTGCATGCGCGCGCATGTGTGTCATTCTGCATTATTGTGTTTAAGATTGCGACAAGTTTTTTTTTTATATATATATATATATATATATAGGCTTTAAAAAACGGTATGCATAAGAAGAATATTTAAATGTGACTATTTTTCTTTCTATTCTCAAAGAAAGAAAGAAAGTCATTTAGTTAGGCTCGTTTGTTATTTCAGAAAATGTTCAAATGTGAGCAGTGGGTCTCTCTTACCGTGTAATGCTATGGATGTCGCTCGCGAGGTCGTGCGTTATGGATAATTAGCGGTTTGCTCATTTATACCCAAAGCTCGTGGGGAGTCTGTTTTCTGAGCAAATATTTACGCGCGCGTCTTTAATTGTGTTCTGCTCAAACAGAGCATGAGTTTGTCTTGGCGCCCAGCAACCGGAGAGATGAACGGAAACTGGCTCGTGCGGCGCCCGCTTCGTTTGCCGGGGGACGCTCAAGTGTCCGTTCACCTCAGCGCGTACAAACAGACGTACATACACACCGTCTGACACACAGCTGTTATCGTGTGCTGGTGGCCACTTAAGGATGAACCTAAAAAGGCGTGAAATCGCATCTTACGCCTTTTTGACTTTTGAATGAGCTCCTTTATGAAACCCCATTAAAAAGACAAGCAAGCCAAATCGCCCATTCTAGTCCTTTGATCTGTGTGAGGTGCGTTTGCCCTAATACATAATGTGTATCATTTAGGCCTATATAGAACAAAAAAATAGCCTATGTTAATCAAATGCACAACACGCAACAGCAACATGTTGTTTCTGCAAGCTTAAAGCAGAGACTGAATCATTCAAAAGTTATGCTGTAAATAAAAAATGAAGATGTAGGACAGACCAGGACACACAGGAAGACTGTCACAAAGGCTATATGCCAAAACTATAAATTAGACAAATGTGTGTTTTCACTACTGGCAGTTTTTTAAAACGTACTTCAAACCACGTTTAATTAATATTCATTATAACCTAAAATGATTTATTCAAAAGTGGGAATTTGGAGGGAATTATGTAGCCTAGGCCTATAGCAAACAAAACCTTTTAAACTGCAATTGAATACAAATAAAATAACAATAAAATTCATAGTCACTGGTCACAAATTATATTTGAAGTAGGCCTATAAAATATGAAAATAATTTTAAGGTCATAAGAAACAATTCAGTCAAGTTTGTTTAAACTTTTTTTTTTTTTTTACAGGTTGTGTGATATAAATAAGCATAGAAAAGTGCATTAAACTGAGTGTAAAATGTCAAACTGTCCAAAAATGGTCAAAATGCTTTGTACTATCCCAGGTAAACATGAGGTGTCAAGAGGAATATGCTGAATAGTAGAAGCAGGACTTAACATGTTTGTGTGTGTGTGTGTGTGTGTGTGTGTAACATTAAAGACTAAAAAGAGCAAGAGAGAGAGAGAACGTGTGTGTGTGTGCTCAGCATGAGTGAATATGAGCCGGACGCAGGGCAATAGAAGGGCTAATGACCAACAGCGGAGAGCACAGCATCTGGACTAACATATGTCGGAGAAAAAGAACACTTAACTGCTGCTTCTGGTTGGTCAGAAAGCATGTAATGACTCAACCATACATCAGCCACGTGATTACAAGATTTAGAACTGTCCTGCTGTTATTTTACAAAAATAAAATGTTGCATTATAGTTAATATAGTTATATATATATATATATATATATATATATATATATATATATATATATATATATATATATATATATATATAGCTAGTATACACACACAACACACACACAAGGGGCAGTGTGTGTGTGTGTTGATTTTGAACACTGAATGTAAAACAACAATTTCACATTGCACAAGGCAATTATGAGCAGATAGCCTCAATAGTATCCAGCTGCAGACCCGCAGCACCAGCAGTTTCAGAACCACAGCCACAGAACCGGAAGTGAGGGGCGGAGCTTACGTTCTAAACAGAGTAGTGCCACCTTACGGTTTTTAAGGGGTCATTTGCTTTTATTACACACCATACGTTATACTTTATGTATGCATTTTATAATGATATATTAAGCATTTAATAAACATTAATCTTGTGTAATTTAGTTGTAGGCCTATACAGTTA